ACGAGCCGCGGGCGCGCACCGCGGGCGCGCGGCGTACGGATCTCAGCGGGCGAGCGGTAGAGCATCGGATGAAGTTGTCGAAGGCTTTCGGAGGGGTCGGGGCCCGGGGTGGTTCCCGTCAGCTGCGCCTCGTCGCGGGCGTTCCACGGATGCTGGGACCGTCTCCAACTGCCACCTGGACGCGGGGCCATGATTTTCCGAGCCGCCTTGGGACGGGCCCCCCCGATGTCGGACAAAAGAAAAAACGCTCCCCATGTCCCAAGGCATGGTGTTGTTACTGTTACTGCCAGGCCTCTGCCTCACTCACCTCACCCGCCTCATTCCTCCTTCACTCAGACTCAGACTCACGCATGATGGGCCTGTGTTCCACCACCACCACCATAAGTTGGAGGGGGAAGGGAGGAGGAGGAGGAGGAGGAGGAGGAGGAGGAGGAGGAGGAGGACCCCCCCCTCCAACTTATGGTGGCGGTGGTGGAAACCACGCCCATCACACTGGGGCATCTCATGTCGGGCTCCTATCTTTTCAGAGCCCCAGGATCCCCGCGATGTGTGGCGGGCACAGCGCGCGGGCGTCTCCAGGGGGGGGAGTCGGCCGGGTGCGTTCCGCGGGCCCGTTCACCTCCGCACTCGTGCTCACTGTCGGGCAGGACGGCTGTCTCCTGGCATCGCTCGGACGTGTGCATTTTTTTTCTCGGCGAGGGCCATCGAGGAGCATCCTTGATCATTTGGCGAGAAGACCACGCACGAGACAAAAAAATAACAGGGAATGGACGTCCGAGCGATGGCGAGGTATGGCCCCCCACTGCTACTCTCATGTGAGAGCCCCGTGATCGTCGCGATGCAGTAGACATAGCACTTGGGCACCCCAAAGGGGATCCGCTCGCCCGTTCGCGCCCAGATTGTGGGGGCGTCCCCCACGAAAGGCTCGCCCTGCTCCACTGGCTCCTTACCCTTCAGAGCCCCTTGGTCATCGTTTCGGAGCAGCATAGCGTTTGGGTCATCCCAGATGGAGCTGGCCCGCGGTGCATCACGGGCCGCATGGCCCAACCATGCCCAGACTCGTTTACAGTCAGAATTTCGATCATGCTCTGAAGTTTCCTGCGCAGGCAGCTCGCCAGAAAAGAGATACACATATCTTGGGGGACGGGCCTTCCGCGCCAAATAATCATATACCCCTCCCAGGGTGCGTTCTGGCCAGGATTTCAACGCGAATCCAGCCGTGGCGACGAGGGCCTCGCAGGAGGCCCCAAAGGCGAAAACGAGGCAAGGATGGCGCTATTAGATCTGTTCCTCTTCTGGATACAACACTTCGTCCGCTGAGGCTCGGCCGCGGGCATGGACTGGGAGATCGCGGACAGCACGCGCGTGGGCCGCAGCCGCAGCCAGTGGTGCTCGCCGCTCCCCCTGAACTTCAGCTTTGCGGGGCTGAGCCTGCTGGGCATCGCCCGGGTCTTCCTGCTGGTGCAGTGCGGCTACGGCGTGGTCCTCGTGGCGCTGCACGGGCTCCTGCTCGCCCCGCCGTTCAACGAGTCCACCTGCGTCTGGCTGCCCCCCTGGACGGACCTGGCAAGGCCTCGGGGCTGCGCGCAGACCGCCCCCCACAGGCGGCCCCGGCTGACCTGAAGGGGCCCCCCGAGCAGTCCCAGCTGGCCTCAACAGGCCCACCCCAGCAGCTTGGGCGGTCTCTGCACCCTGGCGCCGCCTTCGGCGGCGCCCCGTGGGTCGTTCCGCGCCCCAGGGTGTGGGGGGGTGAGACCGCCCCCTGCAGAGGCCAGCTGGGACTCTTCGGGGGCCCGTGGAGGACAGCCGGGGCCACTTGGGAGGGCCGTCTGCGCGCACCCCGAAGCCCCAGCGGACATCCGACGCTCCAATTGTTTGGTGCGCGGACCCCCGGAGGTCCGGACCATTTGCTCAAAGCCGGCTTCTCATGCCGAGTCGTTTTTGCGGTCCCGGGGCCCGTTGAGGGTCCCCGGGAGGCCGACAGACGCCCCAAAAAGCGTCCGCTCCAATTCTGGCGGAGCCTCGGCTCTCTGGGTTACAGTGGGGACCCATGCCAAGAGGCACCCAGCTTGCCTCCAGGGTGCCCTGGGCTTCTTGGGTCTCGACGGCTTCGCTGTGGAAAGCGCGGCGCTCCCACGCCAAAAGTCAGCGGGCGTCCTGGGGTCTCAGGGTTGGGTCTCTAGTGGAAGGTTTCTTGTGGACTGACCTCCAGAGTACCATTTCGGAGGACAGACCCCTACTTTGAGCTCTGCGAAAGCCAGCTCCGCTTCCGCGTCCGCGGGGGCGACGTCCTCGGGTCGCAGGGCCTTATGCTCGGGCCCCTGCTGCACCATTTCGGAGGACAGATCCCTACTTCGAGCTCTTCGACCTCCAGTTCAGCTTCCGCATCCGCGGGGGCGACATCCACAACTGGGAGCAGCCGCTGCCCACCGTGCACGGCTTCCACGAGTTCGGGAGCCTAGTGCTGGGCGCGCTGATCGGCGTCTTCAACTGCGTCGTGTGCACCGCGATCCTGTTCCTCTTCTGCAGGAGAGGGAGGCCGCGCTGTCCGGAGCTCAGTTTCAGCTGAAAAAGTTGGGAGGGCGGGTTTTGCCCCCTGTGTCCGACTTTTCGGCGTTCGGCAAACCAACACGGAAAACACAAAAAAAGCACGGCAGCCCAAAACATAAAAAGATGTCAGTGCAAAACGGAACCGAACCGAACATGGCGAGAACGATAGTCCCTAAACGGACAAACGAACCAACAAACAAACAAACAAACAAACAAAATTAGTTGGGGGTGTACAACGTCGACCTTGAAAACAGCCAGCGTTGTCAACATCTTCTAAGGCCTGGAGTACGTTTGGCTGGTCTTCACGACCCTGCAGCTGGGGATCTTCCTCATGTGCAACATCGGCAAGCTGCAGGCGATATGCCCCGCGGACATCATCACGGAGGACGTGGTGATGCAGCACTCCACGCCCGCGCCGCGGGCCGGGATGGGCAGCCCGCTGATCCGCGACAGGATCGACTGCACGCAAGAGTGACCTTTCGCCAGAGTGGCCCTTGGTGCGGGCGGGCCAACAGGGGTCCACCGATCGCCGAACGCAGCGCGATAGCAGCGTCCTGCGCGCTGGTGTTTGGGCCCCCGGCGGCCCCCCTGGAAGCCGCGCACCAGAGGCCACTCCTACCCGGGGTCACTCCCGCGTGTAGTCGACAGGAGCCCCTCGGGCGAGGTCTCCTCGTTCTTCCCGCACCTCTCCAGGAACTGCGGCGCGCTGCGCGTCTGGTTCGCGGAGCTCGGAGGGGGCCCCCACATCTCTCCTCTCCTCTCCTCTCCTCCTCCTCCTCCTGCTCCTCCTCCTCCTCCTCCTCCTCCTCCTCCTCCACCTCCTCCTCCCCTTCTCCTCCCCTCCTCCTCCTCTTCCTCCTCCGCCTCCTCCTCCTCCTCCTCCTCCTCCTCCTCCTCCTCTCCTCCTCCTCCTCCTCCTCCTCCTCCTCCTCCTCCTCCTCTCCTCCTCCTCCTCCTCCTCCTCCACCTCCTCCTTCTCCTCCCCCTCTCCTCCTCCTCCTTCCCTCCTCCTCCTCCTCCCTCCTCCTTCCTCCTCCTCCTCCTCCTCACCTCCTCCTCCTCCTCCCCCTCCTCCTCCTCCTCCTCCTCCTCCTCCTCCTCCTCCTCCTCCTCCTCCTCCTCCTCCTCCGCCTCCTCCTTCTTTTGCGCTGGCGCGCCGGTCCTGGGCAGGCCGATCCCGGGCCCAGGCTCGGTGCACACCGCCGGGGCGCTGGGGCAGGAGCCCCGTGCGTTGGGGAGGGGGTCTCCGTGTTGCGCCACTGTTGCGCGGTTTGCCTTCGACGCTCCCTGGGTTTCCGACGGGAGATCGAAGCTTCACACAGGGAGAAAAAGGGGGCGCCCGCTCCTCGGCCAGGGCTCCCGTGGTCGACGCCCCGACTGTTCTGCCTTCCTCTGCCCGAGCCAGGGCGGGCGGGCGCACAGCGGCCCCGGGCCCAGGAGGGGCCCCGGCCGAGGCTCCGTGCAGGCGCGCACCGCCGGCGCGCCTTCCTCCCGGGAGTGGGCCGTGGGGCGGGTCGTGCTCAAGCTGTGGAGAAAAAGGGGGGACCCACTCCTCGGCCAGGGCTCCCATGGTCGACGCCCCGACCGCTTTGCCTTCCTCTGCCCGAGCCAGGCGGGCGCATGTACACCGACCCCAGGCCCAGGAGGGGCCCCGGCCGAGGCTCCGTGCAGGCGCAGAGCCGGCGCGCCCTCCTCCCAGGAGTGGACCGTGGGGTGGGTCGTGCTGGTGGGCTTCGGGCTGCTGGCCTGCTGGAGCCACGTCAACGCCAGGCTGCACAACGCGAAGCTGGCGGCCGAGGAGGCGCGCGCCAGAGAGGCCGGGCCGCGGCGGCGCGGGCACCCTGCCTGAGGCCTCGCCCGCCTGCTGGCCGGTGCCCCGCGGAGGTCTCACGTTCCCCGGTGGCGCCGTGTGCTTGCAGGTGCCCTGGGATACCGCGGGGATGTGTTCTGGAACTCGCCGTTTGGGTGCTCGTTTGGGGGACCTCCCTGGAGCTTACCTGTCGGATCTGTTTGACTCTAGTGCGAATCTAGCTCGAAAGTGATTCGATTCTAGCTTGACTCAGGTTCGACTCAAGGTCGTCTCAAAGTCGACTCAAGCTCGATTCAAGTCGACGGGCGTTCGACGCAGCATCGACGCATGAATGGAGCGAGTGGTTCCAGGAAGGTCCACAGAACGAGCATCTAACGCTGCGAGTATGCACCAAGAGTTCTTCCATGCAAGATCTCTTATCATATTCCTCCCCCTCTCCCCCCACCCGGCCGCTATTCGGACAGTGGTTCGGCGCTCCTCTGCGTTTCGGAGCATGCCGATGCAGGGAGCCTGTACGACAGCAAAGCCTACAATTCTGTCTCACCGCCACCCTGGTGCTGCTGCACTAGCGGTGCCTGCAGTGCGACAGTCTGCATGCGCACAATTCCCTATTCTCGGGACGTGTTGCGTCGGTGCTTATCGGTCCGAGAGGAAAGCATGGCGCGCGGAGGGTGGTTCCGCCATCGAAGGTGCGGGGACGAAGAAGGAGGGGGGGGCGAGGGGTTCATGGCAAGATGGGTGCGCTCGCGCCATATCTGACGTGCTTCATCTCCCACGCATCATTTCCCTTCCCACTGCGCTGATCCGCCAACGGGTGTCAGCGGACCTGAAGCCCTCAAAAGGACCCCATCGTGGTGTGCGTAGTTGGAGTGTCGGGGTAAAGGGGGCAGCGAACATTATAGGAGGAGGAGGAGTAGGAGGAGGAGATGGCGGATGAGCAAGTGGATACCATGAGGAAAAATATGAGGGTGAGGAAGGAGGATGACGAGGAGGAGCAGCAGCAGCAGCAGCAGAAGCAGGAGCAGGAGGACCCGCGGAGGGCGGAGGAGGGGCAAGGAGCGTGGCGGCAACGGCGATCAAGGACTCGGATCCAGCAATGCGGCCCGCCGGCACCAACATCGTCGATCCTCAAACGAGGCCAGCGATGCTGCGGGAGCACCATCTTGAGACACCAGCAACGCTCCGATTGAGAAACAACATTCAGGAGGAAAAGAAACACACAGACACAATTAATCTTCGATTCCCTAGAAAATGTGGGAAACTATGGGAATTGGGGGGAAGACAGAAACCCAGAAAATATGGGACAATATGGGGAATATTTTTATTTGTGTGTATTTATTTGTGTGTCCTGGGGCCCCTTCAAGCATCTGAGAGAGCACCCGTTTCGGCCCTGCACGCCGAAAAAGCAGTAGGCGGGAGGCGGGCCCCGCTCGGACAGGGTCCGGGAAGAATGGAGAATGGCATTCAGATTGAGTCGTTGTGGAGGGGTACTCCAGGTTCGTAATAAGAGGGAGGGGGTCTCAACCCTCCCAGACGAGAAGTTTTAGACCCCCCCGGTGGGAGAACCCTCCAAAACATCGTCCCCAGACCCCCCCAGGCCCTCCAAGATAGCCTGGAAGAGACCCCCCCCCGAAATGAGACCCCCCTCCTTTTATGACGAAATCTGGGGTAGACATGAAATAAAATAGGGGCAATGTAATGAGGGAGGCATCACGAGGAGGAGGAGGGTGATCGAAGAGCGAGGGGAGGGGCAGAGGGAGAGGAGGACCAGAGTAAGCCCAGGATGTTCCCACGATGCTGCAACACACCCTCCCGTCCCCTTCCCCGCAGGGGGGGGGGGAGGGGGGGGGGGCCGGGGCAGATACGACGCCCGCCGGGGCGCACTTTCCTCGAGCGGGCACGCACGGGATGCCCTTCCTCCTCCTCCTGGTCCTCCTCCTCCTTTTCCTGCTCCTCCTCCTCCTGCTCCTCCTCCTCCTCCTCCTCCTCCTCCTCCTCCTCCTCCTCCTCCTCCTCTTCCTCCCCTCCTGAGAACTCCCCACGGGCTTCCTTTTGTACGAACGGAGGCCCCCCCCTTTGGAAGGCCTGCGGCCCCCTGGGCCTGCCACTCGGGCGAGGCCCCCGCGCTGAGAAGACGAACGGCGCTGCACCCCTCCAGCGGACAGCACAGAGATGCTGAAGCGTACCCATCGGTCGTTGAAAGTAGGTATTTTTGGATTCCCAGATTCCAATCTACTTTCAGCGCCTTCCTACTTCAAGAGTCGAGTGGTTTTCCCTCTTCCCTCCTCTTCAGGAGGCGGGCGGAAACCCAATATATTTCCAACGCCTTCCTACTTCATGTTTCTACCTACTTCTTTCGACCGATGGGTATGGCCGCACAGATCCACGAGGTTTAAGTGGGGCCTGCCCCTCTACAGGAGGAGTGTCCAGACATAGTCCGAAAATAATTCGGGGACGATGGTTTTAGCATTTTTGTTTTTACATGTTGGGGTACTTGCAGGGCATTTGTTTGAAACATTTTCGTTCAAAATCCGCATGTACAGTCGGGGCCCTGAAGAAGGAACCCTTTTCGTTGGAGAGGGGCTCCGCGTTCCTTAAGTGTTTCGCAGCTTGCCTGAGGTTTTCCTTAGGTCTTCGATCGGAAATCGAAGTTTAACTCATGGAAAAAGGGGGCCTCGTTCCTTATTTTGGGTTCCTTAGGTCAACGCCCCGACTGTAGGGGGACATGCCCGACCTGGCACGAGGTGTCCAGCGAGATCCCCGCACCTGACAGAGCCGACCGCCCCTCTCCGTGCCATCGGAGCGCACACGCCGGCGCTCCTGGCGTCATGAGCTCGGTGGAAGCCGGCACCTTGAAGAGAAGCAGCCTTGAAACGACGCGAAGATCGGGACAAAATCGGATCGGGATAACTCGAAATCTCTGAGAATCGGCGGGTTTGGAGGAAGTATTGGGCGCCGCCGCGGCCGCTCCAGAGCGTTCCGGAACGCTCTGAGAGCGCTCCGGAACGCTCTGGAGCGATTTATCCTGATCCTAGCCCTGTTTTACCTCAGCCTTCCATCCATCCGCCCTGCATATCGAGACCGCCGCCCTCCATCCGCGCCGCCGTTGCGTACGTTCATGCTCCTGGCATTTGGATTCA